TCTGCTTTTATGTTAATTTTATATTGACATGATATAACCCTATATACATATTTGTTTTATTTCTTTATCTTTGCCACCCTCTTTCACGAAAACCCTTGTGATTTTCTAAAAGTCTGGTTTCAGTTATTCTGAATAGTTACTTTCAACTTCGGAGAACAGGTATTGGTAAGCTATTACGAATGTGTAGAACTGAAACGACGGTTTTCAAGGGATAAAAATTTGATTTGGGCATGTGAAATGTTCAATCTGTTCTTGACATCACGCCTGTCAGTTACAACGCCTGACACACCCAAGTTGTCATATCTTTTTAGGCTACTTTTATGGGATTTGGAAGCGCCAAATGTCGGATTTATCTCACCAGTCACACCATGTAAAAGGGAAATCAATTTCTTGATTATCATTTACCACTTTCAAAGCTTTTTAAATTCTCCGGCAAGAAAAACACCCTTTCTCTCAAACACTGTTCATCTTTTCCATCTTCCTTCATGACCAATTCTTCTGAAACTCCATCTGTAGCTGAATAGACTGCTTCATCGATGCTACTGAACATCAAAGCCAACCAAAACATCATCTTGGATCTCGACTCATCCAAATATGTTGTCTCTCTCCCACCGATGATTAAGTGCCTTCGCCACTCTTCTTTGGCTCCGACCCTTACCATGGTAGAAAATGTCCCCTCGGTTCATCTCTCCAAGTCATACTCACCTGCAAGTTATCAGGAAGGTGAGTCTATGATTAATTTTGAAATCGATTTCCAAAAAACCTTCATCACCAAGTCTCAGTTCAGCCGTTTGCTCCGGTTTTCTCAAGCCAGGGATCTTGTTGATCTGGAAACAATATCATCCACTGCAATTCTGGAGATGTTTTTCCAGATGGGGTATTTGGACAACCTTACCATTCTCTCCAAGTTTAAGAAACCCAACCTTCTTCCTATGTGGAATGGTCTCTTCACTCTTCTTTTCAAAAGCTTCTCAGAGTGGGCCACAGGCTCAAACAGTGCAAGTAAGATTTTCTGCACTATTATCTATGGATTATACCATGGAATCAACCTAGATTATGCTTCCATTCTTTGGGCACAACTGGTTTAGAGTACTCTTTCCACAACACGACACCCATAAATTTTGTGTGCTCGATTCTAGTTCGTCATCATCCAGAGAGCCATCACTCGACTCAGCATTCTGGTGACTGAGCGATGTATAATAGCAGCTATCCCAATCTTTCATACTTTGAAATTCATCGTATCTGATCCTACGAAGTTTGCATCTATTGGATCCATTCCAGAGGCTATGCTTAACTGTGTTCCAACAGACAACGAGCTAATCAACGAGTACTGGAAGAAACCTGCATCAGGTCCTCGCCCTTTAACACTTGAGATGCGAAAGGATTTGGAGGAACCGAATAAGCCTAAAAGGGTAGGTAAGCGAAAGGCGAAGGCCGGTCCTTTCGAACTAGCTCAAACTCCAATGAAGAAAGTTAAGAAGGCCGCTCGCAATCTGAGATCACCTTCTTTAGTTGTCGAGGAGGATTCGAAGTCTCACACTATTTCTGAAGTTCATAGAACTGAGCAAGTCCAACACGAAACTGAACATACAAATGTGGCTTTGCAACCAATGGTCTCGGAACCCTCTTCTACTCACTCTATTCTAAAGGTATCGTCTCTGATTCCTACTTTTGTTCCTTCTCCTCCAACATCTCCTACTGCTACTTCTATGCCTATTTCCACACCAATCACAATCACTCCTTGTCCTAATGTACTTGTTGGTGTTTCGCAACCACAAATTTTAGTTGCTCAAACAACTCCCCTTTACACCAAATACACTGCAACAACCACCACCACCACGAGTTCACCACCAGTAAAAGTCAACCTATTTAATACAGGGGCAGGTGCTTCTAGTGTTACGATCGGTCCTAGCCTTACCCCAATCTCACCTATATGCAATGATGATCCTGATACGGCTTTTGGTGACGATCAGGATGATTTCCAAGACTTCCACTACAACCCATTCACTTTTCACGAGGAAATTCATAATGATGCATTGATGAAGAAAGGGAAGTTCAAGGCCCTTAACGAAAAGTTGGACACTCTACTTGAGTCTTTTAAAACATCGTCAAGCAATGAATACTCATGTGAGTCTGTCAAAGCCTTAATTGTCACACCAACAAACCGAAACGGCGAGAACCGTTCAGGGGTAAAGGACGTTAAGTATAATATCAAAACAATTGCATCATAGTAATCAAGGTAAACACAACCATTACATTAAATATATATAAGATATTTACATTAGTTTGATACATAATTTGTATACATCAAAAGTATAGCAAAATATAAAAGACGTAACTCTATACGCTCTGTCTCTCAAAAACCTGCGGAAGTACTTGTCTACTAATCCCATGAGAATACAAGTGGTTTTGAAAAGAATATCAGCATTAAAGTTGGTGAGTTCATAAGCATGTTTTTGTAATGAAAACCTGTTGATGAATTTGTGAAAAATGTTTGTATGTTTCCAAGAAAATCCAATATTTTCTTTAGTAAAAAGGTAGTCTTAAACCCTAAGACCAATTGTAAGTTCGTTATTGAATTCTGTTTTTGTGTATGAAAGTACTTGTATGAAATCCCTGGCTACCACCATTAATGTAAGTAATGAATCGTATGAAAACCTGGCTAACACCAATATGTATAGTATGTTCTGTATAAAAACCCTGGCTAGCACCAGTATGTATAGTAGTTTTATTAGTTAAAATAAAACTATTGAAGAATGAAATCCCGTCAACAAAAAGTTAGTTTATACTGTTGTGAGTTCGTATAACCATACTTGATATGACCTAGTGACCTCTATGACGTTCTTCAGGCGTCAGACGTTATGGCATTTGTCACCCCAGGCATGACTTCCTAACTGTAGCTAGCAGTTTAGGTGTGGGATAGTCAGTTCCGAATAAATCTATTCACAAATCTCACGCTCTCCCTCCAGGAGACTCTAGTTATACTATGATAGGATTTTGCCTGCACCCCGAAGGGTACAATTGAAGTGATGTCTCACAACCCTTATTAACTAGTTTACGTGTAATGTAATGTTCTCTTGTACTTGAATCTATAGTTATGTCTTGTAGAGTAAAAATAATTATACTTAAATAATTATTTAGTACAGTACTCTTGTGTTCAAAAAATAGTATTGTATACCATAAACTAGTTTCACCATAAATTAAATTTTTGTTATGATGTACGGTTCTTGAATTTGTAAAACGGTGTATTGAACTCCAAACTATACATATTATAGTTTTGTATATATGTTTACTTGTATGTCTTAAATTCTATAAAAGTTCAGTGATGTATAACATGTATGGCACTGAAAACCTTGCAATTTGTATATTATAAACTACCTGCATGCTCAACATGTTACATAAGGGATTTAAATATTTGAATATTTATAAAATGTAGTGATTTCTCGGTTTGTATCGATTGAAAAGGTTTTAAATCTGTATATTTGAATATTTTTATAAAATGTAGTGATTTCTCGGTTTGTATCGATTGCAAAGGTTTTAAATCCGTTTGAAATCATTTTGTATAAAAGCAGAAAATTCTAATATTTTACTTGTATTCTCCCCTGAAAACATTAAAAGTAGTTAAAATCTAGGGGTATGAACTCACAGTGGATTGTGTGTATGTTCCGGACAACGAGACTGAAAATGAGGACCCTCGAGTTGATGTACGTGGCAATTAATGGAATCCTAATAATAATTAAACACATATTTGTATTTAAATTAGCGAATCCATTAGTTAAAGTGTTAGAAAACACTTGTTTTTGGTTAAGGAATGTTACCGAGACTCGATTGAAGAGTAAAAAGTGGGTTTACAGCCAAGATTTCGATTGGGGTTGATTGCGGCCGTGAAAGGTTTTTGGCGGTGAACTGTTCTCGGCCGTGAACTGAGTTCGGCCCTTGAATGGTTTGCAGCCTTCGAATGGTTTGCGGCATGTTCTTGGTGTTCTTGGTGAAATATGAATATTTGAGGGGTTCATGACTGTAAATCCTTCAACGAAGGTTGTTTGATTGTTGAAAAGGTGAACTATTGAGACTTCACAACAACATCTAAAGATGGATTAGATGATTTTTGGAGGATAGATTGAGTTTTTGGTTGGTGGGTTTAGAGAGAGAAAGTAGTGTTTCCAGCCAGACTTGAAGAAATGAGGGTCAAATATATATATATATATATATATATATATATATATAGACTGGGTTCACGGTCGGAGGTGGGGTCCTCAGGCCGTGAATGGTTTACAGCCGTAAAATTGGAATGCACGAGACTTGGCTGATTTTCGATGAAAAACTTGATTTTTCACATGATTTTAGTCCCAACACTTATATAAATTTAATTTATACAATCTAATTCATTCTCAACCCTTACGAGCTTGACAAAATTGGCAAAATAAATAAAATTCGAAACTTTTATTTAACAGGATTTGACTTTCGTTGACTGAAAAAGGTTTGGGTTGTCACATTAATCGAGACTTTTACCAAGGAGGATGCCAAAAGCCTCGATGCTTCCAAAAAAGCCTGTGAAAACTCCGTGAAAACTGTTCGTGAAACGACCGAAAAAGTCGATAAACAATTTTCGGATGTAAGACAATTTATGGAAGAACTCCGAACCTTTTCGGAGCAAAGCACAACCAATGCGAATAAGGTGATTAGGAGTCTCGGCGACACTCTTCAAAACGAGAAAGTAGCTCTTTAAAAGATTCGCACTGAGATTCAGGCTGATAATGCTGACTTGTAATCATCTATCTCTTTCAAAATTAAGAAGCTCCAGGAGGACTTAGCCATCAAAAACAAGCTTATGGATCAGCTGGCTATCAAAACATATAAAACGAAATCTTTCCATGCAACTGTCGCATGCGAAATAGCACATTAATGAGCTTAAGTCTAAAAGGGTCGTGTTAAAAAGTTGTGCTGGCGAGGTTAATCAATATTTTCTAAATCTTGTTGAAACTCATGAGTCTTTACTCATGGTTTCAGTACGACAACATCTGGCTGACAAAATCAAACCTGTTTTTTCAATGCTAAATTGGATAGAGGGTGTTTCAGAGTCTAGCTCTTTGCCGAAACAAAGGGAGAAGTCAAGAAAACAGCTACTGGTGATTCAAGTGCACATGAACAAAAATCACAGTCGAAAGCAAACGACAATCAGAAGGGTAATGAAGCTTCTGGATCGAAAGAAAAAGGAAAATTGGTGGATGATGATGATGAAGAAGAGGATGAAGAGTTGAAGCTTAAAAGAAAGAAACGTGACCAAGAGCTTGACAAGAATTTGCAAATTGCAAAAGAAGCTGAAGTAGCTGAAAAAAAGGTTGGTGAAGGATAGGTTACTCTTGAGACTCAGAAGGCCCTTTTCCTTCCTTGGAACTTGGAATGGATTCTACATGAAGCTGTTGACAATCCAAGTGTTTATTGGTTGGAGCCTATTGTATCATTTGATTTGAACAACTATTTGGATTCGCAGCTTGACTTTCTAATTACTTTGAAGGCTTTTCTGTTTTGCAGTTTTGACAAGATTGAGAAAGCTCCCATTACAGACTACAATGTTAACCATTCGCTTTTCTCTTTCTACCTTAATCACGAGAAGCCTCTGTATCAAACGTGGAGTTCAATGAAAATTACAACTGTGGAAGTCATCGGGCCAATTGAAACATAAAGCTTAATCAATGCTCGATTAAAGTTTATCCGTGGAGCAAAGAGTTTAGTTTTTGAATTCACTTTAGCAGACTTGTCGTTCCTTAACCCATATGATTGGATTTCCTTGGTCCATCTCTTGTTAAAGGATAAACTGTTGGATTGGTGTCTAAGTCCATAACTATATTTGGTATGTACTTGACCCAACTTGGCATGGTCCATTTGGGTTGCATGGCATCGTGACAATTGGATAGACAAGATGAGGAAAAAAAGGATACTAGTGATTTATATTAATATATTATAAGTTATAATATATTAATATATAATCATATTATTTAATTAGTATTGATCAAGGGTTAATTTATAATTAATTAAGTGATCAAAAGGAACTAATTAAATATGGACTCTTAGATATATATATATATATATATATATATATATATGTGTGTGTGTGTATGTGTGTGTCTGTATGTGTGTGTGTGTAGTGGGCCAAGTTCATTTAGGTTGGGCTAAGCTTTCATGGATAGTCCTTGGAGCTTTAACCCATGGATCCTATGGAAATCAAAGGTCATGGATATTAGGGTTTAACCCTAATCCTCCACACTGTATAAAGAGTCCAATGGTGCATAAAATTAGGGCGAAAAAGATGACTAGTTCATAGTAGTGACGGCATAACCGATTTTATGAGATGTAAACCATGTATCCTTTACCCTTACAAATGTTCATGGTATGTCTTCTAACTTGTTTTTATTACCCAAGTATCAAATATTGTATGCTATATAGGGTAATACCTAGGAATATTCATATTTGTATGTATAATAGAGAAAACATAGATTCAAGGTATTTGGGGTTGCATGTACACCATAAGAGACTTAGAATGCTCAAAACCCATTAGTGGTATCAGATTCTAGGCTTGTTTTCTTGTTATACTTGCAAAATTGGCTGAAAATCGAAGTTTGTATGGTGTCTGGACAGCAGACTCGCCGAGTCCATGAAGGGACTCGACGAGTCCAAGGCAAAACTCATCCAACTCGCCGAGTTGGTTCATGCACTCGACGAGTTGGATCCCTAGACAGCATATCTTCGACTGTTTTGGCTGGAATTGGACTAGGAACATTACCCTATGCTTTTTTTCAACTTATAAACCTGGTTTTGATGTTGTAATGTTCATGCTAATCCAATTCCAAAGATAATTATCATTAGATTCATGTTTTGTATTAGTTTAATGGATAGGGTAATTACATGAAAAAGTTTGATTGAAGTATCTTGTTCTTATGAGTTGCTTAGATTAATAGGAATGTTATGTGAAATTGTAGTTTTCAATCCAAATTAATCTAAGAGTTGATTCTAAAATGTGTGTTTGTAACTTTTCCTTAAGTTATATGAAAAGTCACATTTAAGATTCATAAAACTCATAAATACTTCAATAGGTTATGAATAAAGAAAATTCATATTCTTTTAATAGTTTAAAGTCTTCCATAACTTGTCCGGAAGTCATGGAACTTGAAGAGTTTTTTGAATTAAAACTATTTTAAACACATAAGTTATGGAATTGAAAAGTTTTTGAATAGCTCAAAACTTGCCTTCAAGTTTTGGAATTTGAAAATTTTTCTTTCATGAATACTTTAATTACAAATTAAGCCCTTAGGATTTTGAAAGTTAAAATTCAACCGTTATACTGGTGGAGGGTCGTTAGCCACCGTTTCCTTTACTGGTGGAGGGTCATTAGCCGGTCTATAAGGGGGTATAAGGTTACTACCTATAAAATGGCAGTTTAATGGGTGTCCACTCTCACCCACCGCTTCCTTGACTGGTGGAGGGTCGTTAGCCGAATGGGTAGGACAAGGACTATAATTCTCCTTTCATTACAAGTATAATGATAAATACTAAGTAACTAAACACTTATAAATTCCCAATGTTAGTTACTTTGGAAAATGTGAATAAGGTGCTAATCCATGAAATTACACTTTGCACTTTGTTTGAGCTGTTAGTGGAGCGTGTGTGGTTAACCAGCACACTAACTGGTTTTAACAAAGTAGGCAAAGGGTTTCTTAAAGTTAACTGGCACATCGGTTGAGTGATAAACATTTCAGAGTACCAAGTAATTTGCATGGTTACTTCACACCTTGTTTTATGATCATCAACATCCCAGTCACAAAACCTGAAGGGCACAATCGAGATTGAAACACGCCATTGAAAATTTCAATGAATCTCAAAAGAATCTACGAGTTTCAAAACCAATTAAAACCTAATAAATTATTTCATTTTTAATGGTAAAAATTGGTGAATCGTCATTCACTTACCTTCAAATATTTTATAGCCTGGATTACGACACCCCTCTTCCAAGTTATAAAATATTGTGTTGGGTCCTAGCCTTAATATTTCATATTGGGTTTTATATTAAGGACATAAATCAACTTACTTGAATATCTCCTATATTAGATGTCTGGTTTAGACATCTATGATCATCCCAAATATCTTGGAACAAGCTTTCCTAATGAAGATGATGTCCCATGGTTGGTTCATGGAAATCATACTTCTTTTCTATCACCTCCTCCAATTATTCTCCCTAACCCACAAGTTCTTGAAAAGCTTAAGGTCACTCAGGCCCTATTGGCAAGCAAAGTCTATGTGTGCTCAGATCTTGGAGATAAAGTCACATATTGACAAGCCAGGAGAGTTGGGTGTCAAAGTCTTGAGGAAGTTGGATGTTCAATCACTTTGTAAGTCACATAACAAGTTCCTTTGGGACCACTATGAAACAGACTATGACATGACCCTTAATTATCTTATCTATTTGCTTGGTGCTGTTGAATCGGAAATGATTTGAGGAACAGTAAAGCGAATTTGATTAGAAGATCAACTTCCCAAAGGTTTAATGGACATTGACAATGGTAACATTGGATACCCAGTAAAAGCTTTCTCTTCCCAATGGAAAGGGATCGCCCATAGTCAGCTCGGTTGACCAAATGGTGAAGAGAAAGGCTAAGTTTGAGATAGTCCCATGTATCATTACCAAAAAGTCCATATGTTTCTATTGCCAAAGGAAGGGAAATTGGTTGCGAAGCTGCCAAATTTACCTTAAAGATCATAAGGATGCTAAAGTCAAAAGTTTGACTTTACTTCAGGTAAAGTCCACAATCTAACTCTGTTAAGTTCCCAGTTGATGATTCTTAATACAAAAATGTGACTCGGTTGCATTTTGATATTTAGCAGGATCAATCAAAGTGAAGGAAACTTTAAGAAAAAGTATGCTGAATCTGATCGCGTAGATGGATTTCTATCGCATGGTTTGAAGATCGGATTCTTGAGCTACTTCTTAGGAGTTATGATAGATTGCTAGGAAACATGTAATAGCATAGTTTTCTTTTCAAGTTGCATTGTAAGGAAAAAGTCCGCATTTTTATAAATTAAATAAAAGTTTTACTATATTTTATATCTCCTTGCAACGGAATTTATGAAAACTTGATGTTTGTATGTTTCTAGCAATATTGGAAATATGAATTTGATTCTTTCATCTGTGGTAGTGTATAAATTTAGCAGGTAAGGAAAGAGTCTCATCACCCAAGGTTCAATTGGACCGAAGCTTGGAATCATGCAAGTTTTATAGTATGATGAATGAGAATTTTCATCTTTGGAAAATTAAGATTAATTCCTTGTTCACATGTATATGTGAGTCAAGTGAAGGAATAAGGGATCAAGCACACATTCGTGTGCATTGGTTAGGTCCACTACAAAAGATTGATAAAAATATTCGTCATGATTTACTAAAGTTTAGTAAATATGGTTATACTTACAAGTTTAAGTATAATTTTGAAACATTGGAAAGTTCGATGTATGGCAGAACGAATGAGAAGAATAAAATTAGGCAGAAAAATAAAAGTTTCTCAAATCTGAAAAAAATGGGAGAGTACTTTAGTATCATGTTTTGTGATCATGTTAATGATTAAGAAACCATATCACAATTGGTCCTCTAAGGATATCTTAGTACATTCCTATGGCTAAGAAGTGGAATCAAGAATTGCTGAAATGGTTAAATCAAGAAGATGATTCATACTTCATTCCAAAAACAAGTCTTGAGTCATACTCCAAGATTGTAATTTGAGTGACAGTACTAACACTTTTCAAATGTAAGAGTAGCATGTGTCTTACTCTTGTACATTTGAAATTGGTAAGTTGTGATGTTTTGGATAAAACAAAGACCAACTAAGGCCAAGTGTTTGTCTTGATAAAGAATTTGCACTATCTATTGAATATTTGGCAAGATAGTCTTATATGTCAAGAGGATAGTGGGAATCTTAAAGATCCTGAAAGAATTGCAAGTTCTAATAAAAAATAAAAACATGTAGTTAGACACTAGCACACGAGGTGATGTTTATAACCTATCATGTTGACATATTGACATTTATGTGCCCATTCCAGTAAAGTTGACTATACATTTGAGTTGTACATGTTCTCAATTGCTTGCATAATTACTTGGAAGTAATGGCAGGCCCTGTACTGCCAGGTGGCGAGAAGTTAAGATTGCACAAGTTCAATCCATATGAGTTTGGATTTGTCACTAACCTAGTCTTGTGATTATCGTTGTGACAAATTCATGTGGATAAGAACACATACACCAGAAAAACTAAGGGTCATAAGGTTTCTCTCCGATTCATGAAAATGATGGTAAGGAAACACTTCCACCAAGTAGATTTTAAGTAAGATAGCAATTGTGATCTTTGCATTCTCAAAGTCATTAGTGGAGCGTGCGTGGTTAACCGGCACACTAACATGGACTTATAAGAAATTGCAAAAGTCTAAACAATCGAGACTATGATTACAACATCCTTTTTCATAGTTCTAAAATTATTTAGACACACCTGTGAGCTTTCTAAGATAAGGTGTATGATTTTGATAAAGTCTTATCAAAGAAATCTCGTATTAGAAATCTAAACTTTCGTAAGAAAGTCAATAAAGTATTGATTTCTAAAAGTCCAACTAATTTCTGGATAAATGTCAAAGCTAGTGGGATCATAAGTA